CGCAAAATTCAAAACAAACAAACAAACTCTTGCTTGTGAATCATCCTTTTTGTGACGGAGCTGTTTGAAATTGATGCAGTTAAAGCTAAAAGAAAATGATAACCATGCTAATCAGATCGCTGTTAGCCGAATCAAGTAATTTCCTTGTACTGGACAAATACGAAAAACCACTTCTATTTCAAATATACCGACAGCATATGTGTGACAAAACTGGATGTAATACTGAGATAAGCCTAGCTGCAACTGAATGTGATACTAAGATAAGCCTAGCTGTAACTGGATGTAATGCTGTGATGAGTCTAGCTGTAACTGGATGTATTACTGAGATAAGCCTAGCTGTAACTGGATGTAATACTGGCTTAAGCTTAGCTACAACTAGATGTAATACTGGGATAAGCCTAGCTGTAACTGGGTGTAATACTGAGATGAGTCTAGCTGAACTGGATGTAATAGTGATATAAGCCTAGCTGTAACTGGATGTAATACTGAGATAAGCCTAGCTGTAACTGGATGTAATACTGAGATAAGCCTGTCTTTCCGGTGAAAGTGTTACATCTAATCTCTTCCTCAAATCATTTCTTCGCTTTATTCTGTTGTGTACTGATATCAATAGATTTACCATCGCTTATGAAGAATACATTCAATAAACTTTCTGTAAGAAAGGTGTTAATCTTTAATAACATTCTCTTTTTTTGCACAGTTTTAACTAACGACATGATTTCTTCTTCCCATTGTAGACCATCTTTCAAGAAATATTAACACCAACAAAACCTTCTGACACATTTCCCATGATCACTTGTCTTCGTTAGATACTATTTAATCAGATCACATGATTTTTTACGGAGTTTGATCATTTTTCCAACACCTACCCCACGCCACCAAACACCTCTTTAGCATAAAATGCGTCTCCGTTGAAGCGAACACGTAGATAAGCATATGATACATGTTGATGGCTTCTACACACATCCAAGCAAGTGACGTCAGCAAGAAATAATGAATTAAGACCGCCACTCCCACGCAGACATCTACGCCCCCTATCCACAATCCTCGCTGTGAGCCGGCCAGAAACGACGTGTTCATCAAAAACATGGATAAACACAGATTCAGTAAGATCTTCCCGGAGTGATCTCTGTTTAAACATCTGAAAAATAGAACCAACACAATCATTAAAAAAAAGTAGTTTGCCAATTGACTTTACTAGGAATTTAAAATTTTAAAAAGTTAAAGGCTACAGTTTTAAATTTAGAGGGCAAATGTAACGAATCACATGAAATGTATTATCAGGTATGACTTACATTATCACAAAGAAAGCGTATTTTTTATTAAACACTAAATGCGAAAAAACAGTATGATCCTCAATACACTATTAAGCTATCATAGTGATTACTGACATCACGTTGACACATAAAGAGCACTTTTCACGTTATACAATAGTTACTGGAAACTTCTCGTAATGAGCTTTCTACAGAGTCGCCTACAGTGGCGCCATCTAAGGATGTAATTATACACTATTACGAAGGATGAATAGTATTGATCTGGTATATACTGGTAATGTTGCGTACAATAAGTACTAACTAATTTAATTATTAGCTATACTATTAGTTCAACACGTTTAAATGCATTGGTTTGTGTAATGCTATTATTTATTTTTATCCCGTTGGTGAAAATTCAAAAGAAAATAAGAACAACTCTTTAATTTTTTACAGCACGGAGAAATAAAAACATATAAATAAACCTCTGAATTATCACAAGAACGTAAATCTTAGACAATAACTTACCTGAACATGGAGTAAGTTATAATTGTCAAGATGAGACCAAATATTGATACGGCACACCCAAGGTAAGTTATTATTGAGAGCGCTTCCTGGTGTTGATCAGGAATGCTAAGGTCGGGCATAGGATCCTAGGGTTTGATAATAATGAAATGTTATTGTGAGTGCGTTTGAGAGTCATAGTTAGTAGGTATTAACTAAATGTCCTCCCCCAATCCTCTCTTAATAAATCTGTAAATATAATGCAATAAAACATATGAGCGGTGAGTCGAAACGACTTCAAATAACGTTTCACTGGTAGAACATCCTTTAAACTAAATCCTTTCTAATTACTACACTGGAGTAATTAAAGACAAGATAAACTAAACCTTTGGGTGAAGGTGTTATACCCGTACTCTACCTCAAAAACATCCTTTAAACTAAATCCTTTCTAATTACTACACTGGAGTAATTAAAGACAAGATAAACTAAACCTTTGGGTGAAGGTGTTATACTCATACTCTGCCTCAAAAACATTCTTTAAACTAAATCCTTTCTAATTACTACACTGGAGTAATTAAAGACAAGATAAATTAAACCTTTCGGTGAAGGTGTTATACCCGTACTCTACCTCAAAAACATTCTTTGCTACCTCGCGTACCCAAAGTGGAGACAGTTTGATCCATACAGATAAACGTCAGTATGTGTGTGTATCTGTTCCTTATACGTTTCCACATTTCTTGATCAATCAAGATAAACTAAACCTTTGGGTGAAGGTGTTATACTCATACTCTACCTCAAAAACATTCTTTGCTTTTATCCTTATTTTAATGTCCGCAGTGACTCAACGGCAAGTGTGTGGGTTTACAATGATAAAAAATCGGATTTCGATACCCGCGGTGGGCAAAGCACGCATAGCCCCATTATATAATGTTGTGCTTAACAAAAAAATGTTTTTAATGTGGGTTAAAGTTGGTAAAAGCTAAGTTATTAATAAACTATATGTTAACAGCTAGAGTTAACTAAGACAGCTAACTTCCTTATTTGATATAGTAAGCTATCGTTTCTTTGATCACGATTTGCATAAAGATATAATTCTCATTAAACACTCAAGCATAAGTTTATAACAGACAGATATTCACAGCCAAAGTTTAAACCCCGCTCTTGAACAATAGTTTTAATTAAGGAAATCTAAAACATCAATATCCTTTACACAATTTCTTCCCAAGATTATTATACTACAATAATTCTCCATGTTATCTCCTACCTCGCGTACCCAAACTGGAGACAGTTTGATCCATACAGATAAACGTCAATATGTGTGTGTATCTGTTCCTATACGTTTCCACATTTCTTGATCAATCAGCACCAAACTTAACACAGTGATATAGAATGACATGAAAAAGACCATGGAGGGGTTGGACCCTTCATCTAATTTCAGATCTAATTTAGGAAAACTACCAATGCTGTATATCCCTCAGCATTAAAATGAACTATGCAACCACTATTGTTTGAATTCTTGAAAACAGCATGTCTTTCTTTTCACTATTGGTACCTTTATGTATTTTTATTGTATTTTTAATGTTTATTACGTTAAGAAAAAAAAATACAACCACAATTTCCTATCCTTTGTTACAAACGAGGTTTTATTTCACCCGTCCAGACTGGTACTCCAGAGAGTTTTTGTTTGTTTGTTTGAAGTTATGCACAAAGCTACACAATGGGCTATCTGTGCTCTACCCACCACGGGTATCGAAACCCGCAGACATACCGCTGTGCCTCTGGGGGACTGGTACTCCAGCTAGTATAACATAAAAAAGACAGAGGACAGAGTTTCAGAGATTTGATTATAAACCTTCTTCAGACAAATAACAAACCTGTGTGATGTCCATTAAAATGATAGAAAATAGGTTACATTTCAAACGACAAAACTGAACAGAATATCTTTATGAATAGGTTGTATTTCACACAATAAAACTGAACGGAACAGACTGTGAATCAGATGGTCTATGACTCGCGTCCCGCTGGAACAGTGAATGCATTATAAAATGATGGTCAAATCCTACTATTCGGTCAGACAATACTGGCCAAAAGTTACCGATGGATGTTGTAGACTAGTTGCCTTTAGTTTATCAGTTCAACATTACACAGTGCTAGCCCAAATAGCCCTTGTGAAGGCTTTGCACGAATATTCGAAACAGGTCATAAATTGAAGTCTCTATGGACTAGATTATAAATTTCAGAGCTCGAGCCAGTTCTCTGTTGTTGAGCGATGACTTTTAAGTCAAATGACTATGGTTTCCAATGTGTATTGGTCACTTTCATGAAAATGGCTTAAGAAATAAATGTTGGGGGGAGGTGAGTGTGCGATCGCACCTCTTAAATTGTTCCCATATAGTATAAGACATATTTAAAAGGTGTAAAAGCAACCTCAGATGTTATTCGTTTTTTCACTACTGGTCAGAGGAGAAGCGGCCACTCAGCAGCACGCTATCGACCATCATCCACGCTAAGGGATTGACTGTCAATCTTATGACGCACCTACGTCTTAAAGTGCTGAGAATATTTTTTAGTGTCTCACGGATTCGAAACCGGCTAGGAAATCCAGAGGTCTATCACAAGGTCGTGCTCCGTTTAAAAAATATCCAAATGTATATCACAAGGTCGTGCTCCGTTTTAAAAATATCCAGATATCTATCACAAGGTCGTGCTCCGCTTTAAAAATATCCAGATGTATATCACAAGGTCGTGCTCCGTTTTAAAAATATCCAGATCTATATCACAAGGTCGTGCTCCGTTTTAAAAATATCCAGATGTATATCACAAGGTCGTGCTCCGCTTTAAAATATCCAGATGTCTATCACAAGGTCGTGCTCCGCTTTCAGAATATCCAGATGTCTACCACAAAGTCGTGCTCCGTTTTAAAAATATCCAGCGCTGAGAAAGTTTATTTCAGGATGCTTCTTGGGTTGAAGATAACTTGAAGAATTTGTATATTGAACATCAAGATCGAGAAATGGGGTATACGACCTGAAGTAACGAAGTTAACCATAAATGGGGTATATGATCTGAAGTTACTAAGTTAACCATATTACTTGTAGAAGTTTTATTCTTAAACCAGTGTTTCCCAAAGCGGGAGCCGCGGCCCCACTAAGGGCCGTGAAGCTTTTTCTGGGGGGGGGGGGGCAAAAACGGGCCGAAAACAAAGATGCTGAATTAATTTAAATTAATTAAATGATACAGTATGTCGAAAGGAGATGTTACTGTTTTTACTACGGCACCGTTTTTCAATCACTGTGCTAAAGTAGCAGGTGAGAACATTTTAAAATCACGTTTTTATTCACATCACGGGAGCCTGAAACTAGAAACGTTTGGGAACCACTGCTTTAAACAACTGGTATTGAGCACATGTGAAACGATTAGATATAAATTGAGTTTTTTCCTATACAGGGTTACTTGTCAGAAAAGGTTTTTAATATCTATAATATTTATAAAACACAAATCTTGTTATAACGGAGCTTGCGATGTATACGTCCAGAACTCGGATCTCAGAAACTACCGCACCAATCATCACTAATCATAACTGGGTAATATTTTTATAACTAGGCAGTATTTTTATAGCTGAGCAATAAATAAAACACTTGAAATTTCCACAAAAATGATATGTTTCAGATTTAACCAATAAAAATTACAAGAAAGAAGTAAGTTTCAAATATAAAAGAATCAAAAAATAAACTTAAAAAAGTTATTTGTTTTTCTTTAGTGATAATCTCATGAGTGTTGCAACAGAAAAGAAAGCCACGTTCATTGATAACTGCGTTAACAAAGAAATACTTCAATAAAATCTACTGTGACGATAGCTCATTTTTAAACTAAAATTTCAATAAAATCATTTTTCTCACGGACGGTGAACATTATTGAATGTCAAGTACGAGTACATTGTTGTAAACTGTCAGACAATTCCAGAAAAGGCCACAGGCCCAATAGCCTTCCGCAGGAACTAGCAGTTATACCTGCCCGGAGGGTGGGGGTTTCTGCTAGTAAAAGTTAATGAAATATAACAGGCATAAAATAAAACCAGAGATGCAAAGTACCATTCTGTACAAAATTGTTGGGTAAACTGACAAATGATATTAATATCTAGTTTTCACGAATACAGGGTTGCAAGATTTTGGGGTTAACTTAATATTAACTTCCTTCTATGGTCAATTTTGTCAGATTTTCTGTTTAGCTTTTCGAACACTAAACAATACCTGTACACTGACTAATTTTTCATGTAAGTTTCAAAACATCAGCAAGCTACGCAACTGGCTATCTGCGCTCTGTACACCAGGACGAATCAAACCTTGGATTTTAGCGTTGTAACTCCGTAAAATTTTCGATTTTTGATAAAATCAAAGGTTAATAGTAAAAATTAAATACGGTTCCGAGATTACATGATAATTTCATTGTGTAAACGGCTGTTGCCACCGCTGTTGCCACCACAAAAACAAAACACACATTCTTATTCATGCCTTAATTATGAAATCAATAATCTAATAATGTTTTGTTCCACTCACCAGAAGAACAGAGAAGGCGGTCATATGGTTGGAGTTGCACACAGTGATATTACCCGTTTGATTGGTGGTTAACCCTTCGGTGGACCAGATCCGTTCTTGGTAAAAGAAAGTGAAAAGTGTAAAAATAAAATAACACTAATTGTATTACACTTTCAGCATGTTTGAAAAAATCCTAAATCAGAAACACTAGTCTCGTGAAAATATTAGGGCTACAGTTTAAATTCATTATTTTCGTAATATTTTCAGTTCAACAGCTGCATTATAATAAAACTTCAGACTCAATAACTAATTAAACTCGGTTTCTTCTGAGAATTATTACTCTTAACTCTCATTACTTTATTAATGTTGTTATATTTCATTTACGCTTCGGAACATCTCTTCATAGATGGCAGCACAGCAAAATAGCCAAGTCTGAAAATGGGGAGTAATCGACCGAACATAACGAAGGGAAAAGTTTTAGTTCCCAGCACAAACACCCCCCCCCCCTCTGCGTTGATTGCAAATGTTACTCTTGTTTTGAGCAGTCTAAGTAACCTTATATTTCCTGTTTAACTTGCTATAATGGTACATTTTAGTAGTTGTTATTGTTACGTAACAAATAAAAAATGTGCATTTCATTATAAAAACATACACACTATGCTCAATGATGCCAAACAGTTGTAAAAACTCTGTCCAGGAACGTCAGATTTTCGTACCTCCCACCCCAATATTGATTATTTAATTCATATCTTTCTTCGCATCATTACCAATGCCATTGGATTTCGCATCTTTATCTATGTGTACATCATCTTTGTGTAAATGAATAACGGCATATCCAATGAGAACTCCCAAACCATTCTTAGAGTTTCTTCAGGTTATCACTCAAAAGAGTAATTATATTATCCAGAATAAAACTCTGGGTGCAGGAATTCTTCATATATGTGCAATACATATTAAGCCATATGGTATGGTAAGTATCCGGTATCAAGGAAAACTTTCTGTTTGTCTGTAAACACATCTGCTTTTAAACGAGTTAACCGATCTAGACCAAACTTGGCATGCTAACTTGGTAGTTCAAAAGCAAACAAAATTCACATTAAACTTTCCCATATATTGAAACCCTATATCGTTACTGCAGTAGCTATTGTAAATACTTAAGTTTGAACAAAACCCACACCACAACAAACTTCTACCTTTTAAAGATTGTATTCTTCTTGATAATACATAAAGCGTTGCCGTGTCGTCCAACTTTGGTAATCTTTCGTTGTCATTCACGTCTTAATAATTTTGTTCTAGTTGACGTTTCTGAACATCACTTATTTCAATCACAATAGCCAGACCAGTGACGCTAGTTTTCTTGACTTTGCGAAAATGGAATTATAATTGTCAACCTGAATACCTTATGCACACTGAGACCTCTGGAATTCAGGTATGGTCGTCCTAATTTTGAACTTGAATGAATTAACACGTCCAAATGAAAACTTTTTCTAAATTATTTTGTGCGATGTCTCGAGCAGATGCTCTTCATCCAGCAGCAAAGACCGTGTTACAGTGGAATTAGGCTCAGAGAGAATTGTTGAAATATAATAAAATACAAAGGTTCTAATTACACATGTTCAACATGGAACACAGTGACAAAAATACTAATATAAACATTGTTGAAAGATAATAAAATACAAAGGTTCTAATTACACATGTTCAACGTGGAACATAGTGACAAAAATACTAATATAAACATTGTTGAACGTATTACGTAAATATTATTAAATTAGCAAGAATATGGAAAGCAGTGATTAGAACACAGGAAGAATAATAAACATAAGTTCACAAAATAATAGCCTAGTAAAATAAAATAATAATATTACCTTTCAACGATCCTTTCTGAGCGTAATTCCTTTGTAACACGATTTGTAGTGCCCAACGAAGGGCGTCTACCCAAAATGTCGCAGGAAATAAACTAGAAAAATTTTTCATCTAAACTTGTCAATTTCTTCTTTATTATCTTTTATCCACGTTTTTTATCTCAAGTCTTACGGAACAACACTCATTCTAATTCTGAACTATTGGCCAGAGGGAAAACAGCTAGCCAGAGCAAACCTGCTGACACAAGGGCTCTTTGAATCGTAGAACGGAAGTAACTGTAACAGAGCGTGCTCAGTAGAATCAAGTCTCAAACTACAGACCCGCATCCCGACACACAAATTTAACTTGTAAAGTGTAACTTCAACGATATTTAATTGCTAGATAATCTTCCTTCTCATTAAATTGTTATGTTATCTGCATGAACCTTAGTTTTAAAAATTATTAACACAAAGATGCTACATAAAGCAAATATTACATTATAGCTTGCATAATTTCTCCAAGATGAGTGCGGAAGAATCATGAAGGTTTCCTAAAGTAGGTTTGTAGTATTTCTTTAAATCATAAGTCAATGAAATAAGAGAAAATAAACGTTAAGGTCCACTGAGATAAAATAAAAAATACAATATCTGAGTGAAGGTTTACTGTAAACTATTCTTATTTTTGGCTAACTGGTCAGCCTGCCAGTTGTAAACTGCTAGGGTTAATTCTTCTATAACTTAGAAATTAAAAGTATCTTTATTCATGTATATTCAGGTAAAATCTTTAAAATGTTTGATAGGTTGTTGTGCTTAACTAACATTTTTTTAAACAGGATGTATTTAGTTGTGAACTTGGTTGAATCATAGCTTCAAGCCTTAATTACATGTTACATTGGTCGTTTAAACGAATTTGCACTAGCCTGACCAAGCTTCTCTCCTAAGTTTGTTTAAAGGGGTGGTATATAAATCTACACAGATTGATGTGGGAAGAGAGGTGATGAGCTTGACTGCAGGAATAAGCAATTTTGGATTATGGGAAACCACTCTAGGACTTTGGCCTGACACAAAGTATGGATTATCGTAGTTTATGGACTTAAATTCTTCTTCACCTGTCTTCAACATAGAAATACCACTGTTGTGAGAAGCCAGTCAGTGAAATTTGAAATTTTAAGTTCAGCAAAGATACACCAATGCTTTGTGTAAAAAGAAATACTTTTATTTCTGGATTTTCACGTGTATGTGCTTAACATTTCTTTCTGTCCACGTTTATATTATTCGTGAACAAACATTTCCTTCAAACCTCCTTTATTTCGACTTACCTGCTGGTTACACTTTAAACACATGAATACAACAACAACTGATGTAACTAAGAGTGTGACTACAAATGAAGTACTTTACTAATAAGGAATTGAAAATTAGACATTGCGTATTTTTGGTTTTAATAATATAAAATGAATATGGATAAATGTTGTTCATTAAATTGTTCGTTTATAAAAGTTTGGAGACGGCTTGAATGGGTAATGACGAAAACGTTTTATAAATGTACAACGTTTCATGTGTCTCTGTAAACTGTTTGTACCTGAAGATGACAAGATTATTTCCCCAAACTTTTATTTTCCGAAATGTGGGTTCCTTGTCATCGAGTTTAAATTGTTATATAGTTAATAATTGAACTCTGACATTACTAACCAAACAGCTAAAATATGGTAACTTGATCGGTATTTATTATCCAACTTTTTATATTGAACTAAAATAAAGTATCTTCAACTCATACAAGATGTACATGTTGGAATGTAAACATCTCTTACCGATAGTCTTCCAGTACACACACAGAGGGCGGCCGATAGGGCGATCTGGTAGCGGTACCGTGTATACCACTGGCTCAGTTAGGTTTACTAAAGTGACGTTATCCACACTTGCTTGAAGAACTTTACGTTCTGAAATTTAATGAACAATTTAAATCAGAATCCTCTAACCAGATTAACTGATCACATGGATATTCTTTATTAGCAACCTATAATATATATATGTTTGTGTACGTACAAACTCCAACAGGGATATTCTTTATTAGGAACCTATAATATATATATATATGTTTGTGTACGTACAAACTCCAACAGGAATATTCTTTATTAGGAACCTATAATATATATATATATATGTTTGTGTACGTACAAATTCCAACAGGGATATTCTTTATTAGCAACCTATAATATATATATATACATGTTTGTGCACGTACAAACTTCATTACAGATTGTTTTGTTTCGTACGAGACTAGTTCAGGCATAAACAAATAAGGCTTAAATGAAAATAATTCTGTTTGATAACAATAACAAACGTCCTTTTATAGCTAGAGCAGCATTTAAGTTTATGCTCGAATTGTCTGTTAAATAACTATAAGACAACTTATGTATAACATTTTTGTGATAAAGGAATACATCAGACGAAATGAACCTGAACGTTTACAGTATCCTTCATGAGACATTAAAAACAGTAGTGTACAAATTGCTGCACTGTTTTAAACATTGTGATTATCACGTTGTTACAACATATCCAGTTAAGTTTTCTATACTTCCTTCTCCTATCACTACTTATACTTGGAAAACTATTACTGTATTTGAGTGTTCTTTCACTAGTAAATTCATCTTTACTGAGGTAAATCCATGTAAATGTTAAACATTTTCTTGCAAATATTTTGCATTTAATCTTTCTGAACCGCATGTGAATAGTCATATATTTTCACCAATCCCCGTCTTTTGTTAGGGTTACATACTATAATTGCCATTTCATAAAGCTTATACTTGCTTGGCCATGATTCTATGGTGTTGCTCCCCTAGGATGTGGGTCACATCCAATGATGATACACAGACTTCTGAAATTGATATGGGCTGGCAATTAACCTCTCCTTGAATATGCATAATGAAATAGATCATTAGCTTAGGTAATCTAGGATGGTCAGATGCTGCACTCAGACTTTTGTTTGATTTAACAGTGCCATTAAACGCAATTTTTATATGTTCTGAGGAGTGAAGCAGTTGCCTCTCCAAACTTCAGCAACCAGAGTAATTAATGAGTGAACCAGAAGCTGGGTAGTACTAGAGAAAGCAAGATCCCAGCATTTTTCACTTTAAAATAAAAATTATAATTATTCTTTTTTTTTCTTCAAAAATGCGTTTGAGTCGTTATTCCTTTGCTGTTCATATTCATTTTATTCTTTCATAAAGCAGGCACTTCCTGAATCTTCTGTTTACTGTGGATTTTGTATCTTGCTTTTTTGAACATCAACGAATCTGAATACTGCAGAGTAAGCTAATTAGTAACGTATTGGTGACCTAGCATTTGTTTTGCAGAGTTTATTCTGAAAATGCTTTTTATTTCATGGTGAGAGCTACGTCCACGAGCTGTCATGGGGACCAAGAGTTTGATTGGTAGTTAGGGGGGAATCGTGTCCGCAGCAACTCAAACTCCAACGTTTACTATAAGATGGCAAAGATGTGTCATGGTGGTTATGATCAGTCTGGATGTTCCGATAATAAGAGGACCAAACAAGTAAAATATATTCTAAGAAATGCTACTTAAATTCGAGGAACATTGTGGTTTTATTAAAATATCCAATAAAGATGACATATCCAAGTTTCTGAGAAAGAACATGAAATCGACATCGTATTAGAGCATTAATATTCACTAACAAAACTAACATTTTCTCCTTTTTCACAACCTATGTGCAATACATAAAGAACAAACAGAAACATGCACGAACCGTAAAGTTTTGGATCGTCTTCTTCAACTCTCTGAAAATCCTCATAATTCTCTTCTTCGCGTTTGTTTTTCTTTCTGCGAAAGAACTTATCATTCGTATAGGCCACGAATTTTACTCTGATTTCACCATCTCGTTGGCTCTCAGCTAATTCCAACGCTTCTAGTGGAATCGATATTGAGGTCACCTGGGGAAAAATTCCTTTAGGATTATATACATATAAATGTTTACCCGCTAAAATGTCGGATTATACTGACAAAACCAAAAAAAGATAAAAATCTCGTAAAACATTTGTAGTTTACTTGATTTTTAACACAGATTTTGAGTCTATTTGTTCCAATGCCATGTTTAAACTATAATTTTGGAAAATCTTATATAACATACATAATTAGCAGTTCAGATGGACTTTTGTCTTTCATCGTCCATCCAAGTTGACGAGTTCTTGAATAAAAAAAGGCCTCTTGGGCAATGACCTGTGAAAAACAAATCACAGATCTGAAATATTATTTTTACACAGGCCTCTTAGGCAATGACTTGTGAAAAACAAATCACAGATCTGAATTGGTATTTTTACACAGGCCTCTTGGGTATTGACTTGTGAAAATCAAATCACAGATCTGAAATATTATTTTTACACAGGCCTCTTAGGCAATGACCTGTGAAAAACAAATCACAGATCTGAAACGGTATTTTTACACAGGCCTCTTGGGTAGTGACTTGTGAAAAACAAATCACAGATCTCAGATTTGATGACGAGGAACCCACTTTGAGACTAATAATGCTTGGAACTCAAGCCGTCTCCAAATTAGAGATCTGAAATGCTATTTTTACACATCTCTGATTTGAAACCCGAAATGGACGAATTAAGAGAAATGTGATAAAAAACTGATGAGATTTTTATCACAAATATTCGGCCTATTGTTTTTCAGTGCTTCACCAACTTTCGACGTTTAACCCATAACTTTTATTTGAATAAATAAAACCCTAAAGTTGTTTTGCATTGATGGGAATATGAAATACACCACTCAATGATAACATTGTCTTTCAATCATATTTGTCTATAGCTATTAGTAATCAACCACTTTGAGTATTTGTGTTTACCTATTGTATTCAGAATAACCTACGATTGATGTACATTGTTATTATTGTTGTAGTTTTACATAAGTTAGTTAACCATTTAAACAGCATAGAATTAGAATTAGTTTTTGAAAGTTTCCTATTTTTAACATGAATGCCACCTTATGCGGCACATGGACCAACCTTCTACAGTTGAAAAATGTGGAGTTTGTGCAACGTCATAGTACAGACTCAAACCTTCTGATCTGCAGCCCAGCACGCTACTCACTAGACCACATTTGACCAAATATTAGAAAATTTAGTATTCTAGTCTTCAGAAAGAGTAATTTTAAGCACTTACCACGTTCTGGTATAACGTATTCGTGTTTTTATTAATACTTACATATAAATTTTCATTTGAAACGGTTCTTTATCTCAGAAAAAAAAAGCTCTAGTAAATTATTTTACAATGAAAACATTAATGCTATTTCAGAGGAAGCGAAATCCGGTACGGGATAATGATATTGAGGTATAAAAGATATACCATGGATAGGTAATGGTATTTCAACATGAACGGCACCTTATGTGCATATGGGCTAAACAGGCAGAAAATACTAGTGTTCAGGTAAAGCTGTCTTTAATTTTGAACTACTGACCAGAGGACAGCGCCCGCCGTCACAAGGGGTTTGTTCGGTTTTGAACCGGATTACTGGATTAAATTAAATGTTACTCTTATAAAGCACCCATAACTTAAAGGGCGGAGCGTGTTTAGTGGCATTGCGTCTCGAACTTTCCGATTCTCAACCCCTATACACTGAGCTGTGTCCGCTCCCATAAAAATAGGTGATTCTATAAGTGTATTTTTTCCTGATTTGCACTTTTTTATTTTTAAATTTTATGTTTCAATATGAAATACATCTATGCATCACTCATAGTACTAAACGAATGATGATGTGATAAATTACTTCTTCATTGTTAAACAAATTTAGAAGTTCAAAACGAATAGTCAAATCGCTAAGAAACTCAAGTTTTTACTGTCATTCGAACATAATGTGTATATCAAATTACATAATTATGTTGTTGTTTTAATAATTTTGACACGAAAATATTATTATGCTTGTGGTAAACATATTTTGTAAGTTTTGTTCGTGAAAAAATGCAAATTAATTAACAAATCATACAAAAGAAACATATCAAAATCACAGTATAGAAAAGGTATTTGCATTTGTAACTAACTAATCACAGCGGTAATATCAAACCAATTATGTGTCAACATCAAATGTTCCGATTTCAGTATTCCGTCACAAGATAATCTATTTTTGTTAACTACACGTGCTTTGTTTTCCCTTTATACTTTTTTTAAGTACCCTATACTTACATCATCTTCTTCACTTTCACCGTTTCTTTGTTTCTTAGCTGGATGTTTGGGAACATAAGTCACACCATCTCTATCCTTTTCAGTAGGATCCCAGGCTAACACTGACAGAGCTATATTTTCTGTCTCCAGCGTGATCCTTTCACCCGTCTTAAGCTTCACTCCTGATGCAAACTTGTCTACGATTTGAACGATTCTGATACAAAAGAATTAAAATATATAAAAACACTAATTATTCTTTACTTTTCTTTAGACATTGTGAGAAGAAACTGAACGAACAATGCAGAAAGATTTTACTATTTTCAAACACTAAATTGCCGTTTCGGTCAACCACATATAAATATATTTGAACTTATCCTCGTTTGAAATAAAAAACGCAATAGGATTAAAAAGAACCTATGGGAGAATACACTGTGATAGGATTAAAATGAACCTATGGGAGAATACACTGTGATAGGATTAAAAGGAACCTATGGGAGAATACACTGTGATAGAATTAAAATGAACCTATGGGAGAATACACTGTAATAGAATTAAAAGGAACCTATGGGAGAATACACTGTGATAGGATTAAAATGAACCTATGGGAGAATACACTGTGATAGAATTAAAAGGAACCAATGGGAGAATACACTGTGATAGGATTAAAAGGAACTTATGGGAGAATACACTGTGATAGGATTAAAATGAACCTATGGGGAGAATACACTGTGATAGAATTAAAGGAACCTATAGGAGAATACACTGTGATAGGATTAAAAGGAACTTATGGGAGAATACACTGTGATAGGATTAAAAGGAACCAATGGGAAAATACACTGTGATAGGATTAAAAGGAACCTATGGGAGAATACACCGTGATAGGATTAAAATGAACCGATGGGGAGAATACACTGTGATAGGATTAAAAGGAACCTATGGGAGAATACACCGTGATAGGATTAAAATGAACTTATGGGGAGAATACACCGCGATATGATTAAAAGGAACCCATGGGAGAATACACTGTGATGGAATTAAAATGAACCTATGGGAGAATACACTGTGATAGAATTAAAATGAACCTATGGGAGAATACACTGTGATAGGATTAAAAGGAACATATGGGAGAATACACCGCAATAGGATTAAAAGGAACCCATGGGAGAATACACTGTGATAGGATTAAAAGGAACCTATGGGGAGAATACACCGTGATAGGATTAAAAGGAACCCATGGGAGAATACACCGTGATAGGATTAAAAGGAACCCATGGGAGAATACACTGTGATAGAATTAAAAGGAACCTATGAGAGGGATACACTGCAATACTTAAAAAAGCAAGTTGTTTGTATAAAAATAAAAACTTCACTTCAGTCTTGTACTTAGAGATGTAAATGAGTCATAAACATCATAATTCGAGTTTTTTTGAAGATCAATTCCGTTTTCATCTGGTATTTGATCAAGGTTAATTCCGTTTTCATCTGGTATTTGATCAAGGTTAATTCCATTTTCATCTGATATTTGATCAAGGTTAATTCCGTTTCCATCTGGTATTTGATCAAGGTTAATTTGTTTTCATCTGATATTTGATCAAGGTTAATTCCGTTTCCATCTGGTATTTGATCAAGGTTAATTCCATTTTCATCTGATATTTGATCAAGGTTAATCCGTTTCATCTGGTATTTGATCAAGGTTAATTCTGTTTCATCTGGTATTTGATCCAGGTT